ACGGGGGAATCACAGCATCCTTGTGCCACGCGCCACACGCATATTGGTAAAAGTCTTCGCAGGGGTTGATGGAGTAGTCAATAAGCTTGGTCACAGACTCGGGGAGTTCCGTGACGGAGCCAGCCATAACAACACCGGCCAACACGCTGAAGGAAATGAGGACTTTGACCATCGAAGAGCGAAAATGAAAATGAAGCTGGCCAAAAATGTCAACCATTGAAGCGAAAACCAGGCGTGCAAGACGGTTACTGCATTCAACCGGATTCCCACGACGAATATTATTGACCAAGGTGCATCCACCAACCTATCTCGATGAGACATTGAAGTCGCCATGTGGAATAGAGTACTTAAGAAAGTAAATGTCGGCAGTAACCTGGAACAGAGGAAGTATGACCTAATATTAATGCTTGATGACGTTTGGATGACCCATGATACTTTCACGGATATTTGAAATCCATATAAATAATTCGATGTATCATTGACCAAGGTGTCTGCATCCACCAATATATCTCGGTGAGACAGGTTGGTGGCCGATTAGCATTGACCAAGGAACCTATCTCGATGAGACAGGTTGGTGTGTAGTGCCTTTTGGGAAGATGCATCAGACAGGTCATTGTAACTTCTTTATTACTGAAGCAATTTCAACGCCTCTTTCGAATAATATTTCTTTAGACTACACTTGAAATGGGTTGCCATTGACGTGATGAATAGCCAGGGTCACCATCGCCTTCTAATTTGAGCGGAAAATGTGTTGATGGAAATCAACACCCAAGATGTGTTAGTCGGTGCTAGTATCTACTAAAAAATCTGATTCTCAGTCCCTGCCATTTTGTCAATATTTCATGCATATTTTGTCCAAAATTTGAGTAAATCAGTGCAAATTGAAGATAAGATCATGGTCTTTCTACGACTAGTTTTCGAAATCGCCAAATTCGCAATATTTCATATTTATATGGTACAGTTTGTATGACCCTGGTATCATCCCAAAAGTCCCCTACAATAGTTGTGATTGGCCTTCGTCAGGATTCCCATAAGGAATTGACCAAGGTGTCTGCATTCATTATGCATGCCTCGGCATATGGAATAGAGTCCTCGTAGATCCATGCACTAGTTGTGATTGGCCTTCCTCAGGAATTACTACCTGTCGTATGGTGACTTAACACCTAGCTGACATGCGTTTCTGGTTAATCGAGTTTGGATTATCATTTTAACAATGTAAAGACATTCCTCCGCGAGGGCCAATACTAGAACCACATGTTATCATATCTCGTGCTTCGACTGATATTCTTCGAAGTTCGGGCCTCGTCTTCGTACTCAGCACTTGTAATTTGGATTCCCCAGGGGAGGGATACATCCTTGCGGAAATAATCCGGGGAAACCGGGGATCGAACCCGCGACCTTTGAGTTAAGCAACCGATGCTCTACCACTGAGCTATTTTCCCTCCCCTTCCCCCATTAATGGTATAATTTGGGTGTTGTGAAGGTACTTTAGGAAGGGTATAACTCCTGTGGGGGAATTAGACATTCGTTCGAACAGCACAATGCGATTTGATAGCGTTAAGACTACTACGCTATCACTAAACTACGCGCAACCAACCATTGATGTTTCGTCGGGAGAACACCTTAGTTCCGCAAGAGGACATGTTGGTGACCGAAAAGACACCTTGGACTGAAGAGGTGTCGACTAGTCGTCCGGTTAGTAACCGGATGATGGGCATCGAAGGTGTCGCTTGAACCATGCGCCAAGAGTTGGCGTGTATTGCTCGGTACAACAAAGCGTTTTGTAATGGAGGAGCGGTAGCTACGGCCATCGGTCGACGAGAAGATGGCTTCGATGGCATCCGGAACTGCAACACACGGCACAAGAGCGTCATCCATTTTACACTTGAATGCAGGCAGCGACGACGTCGTTGACTAATTTTTGATTGGATACAGCTTATCTGTGTTTACACCAATCAATATGCATTGCACCTCGTTCTCTTGCGAATGACCTCTCGAAGGTCACGGAAACAGTATGTGAATGAGGTAGAATGAAAAATACGACGACTTGATTGGCTCTACCCCATTCTGAGCTTTAATCGGAACAGGTTCTAATGGCATTGCACTTATACCGTAGTAGGTACTCCGTCTGAGTAAGTAGTATTAATACTATGTAGTATAATAATACTACTGTAGTACGTGACAGTTGGAATTGGCCAATGGGTAGTATATAGATGGAGGGCGCTATACGACTGGAACTAATTCTTCCTGAAGGCCAATCACAACTAGTGCATGGGTCGGGTCTACGAGTACTTCGAAGTATTCGTCATGGGAATCCGGTTGATTGCGGTGAACGACTTGCACGCCTGGTCTTCGCTTCAATAGTTGACATTTTTGGCCAGCTTCATTTTCATTTTCGCTCTTCGATGGTCAAAGTCCTCATTTCCTTCAGCGTGTTGGCCGGTGTTGTTATGGCTGGCTCCGTCACGGAACTCCCCGAGTCTGTGACCAAGCTTATTGACTACTCCATCAACCCCTGCGAAGACTTTTACCAATATGCGTGTGGCGCGTGGCACAAGGATGCTGTGATTCCCCCGGACAGACACGCAATCGATACGTCTGCCATCAAGATCTCCATCGAAAACGATGCCATATTGAGAAGGTTTTTTCTCTGACAACACGACCAAGCTTGGTGAGTTTTACAACTCCTGTTTGGACACGGCTACGCTATCGTCGCTCGGCGTGACTCCGCTGGAGGACTCGTTCAAAGCCATTCGGTCGGCCAACACCACGTTGGACCTCCTCGTCGTGGCTGGTGAATTGGACAAGAACGGAATTCCTGCCTTCGTCGACATCGAATCCAACGCTGACGACAACGACTTGACAAAGAACGCCCTCTTCGGTTTCCGAGCCCTCCTGCCGCTGAATCGCGAGTTCTACACCAACCCTTCCAACTGGGAGATCGTCGAAGCCGACTACAAGGTGTACATTGCGTCTGTGTTGCAGCTAGCTGGCTACACTGCTGAGAAAGCGGCGGCTGCCGTGCCGGTGATCATCCGTTTTGAGCAAACTCTGGCCGGTATCGCCCTCGGCAAGATCGAGAGGCCGGACGGCGTTGTGTCTCCGTATACTGCGTTGACGTACTACCAGCTGGACCAGAAGTACCCGCTGCTTGTCGGCTCGTGGCTCAAGGCCCACGGCTTCAACGTCCGCGACCAGTGCGGTGGGTCGAACGACTGGGTGGCGTTTTTCGACTTGACCTACTTTGACAAGACCGAAGAGTTGTTGAAGAACACGTCGCTGGACAACCTCCGCACCATCGTGGAGTACAAGCTCATCCACGCCTCGTCGAGGTTCTTGACCCCTGAATTCCGCACGGCGAACTGGAACTTGTTCGACAAGAAGATCTATGGTGAAAAGGTGCAACCTTCTCGTGAAAACTTCTGCCTGACTCAGACGACCGCCACCCTGAGAGATCTATTGGGCCAGTACTTCTTAGACGCGGTGTGGTCGGCTGATACAGCCAAGACGGCCGACGACCTGGTCAAGGCCGTGAAGTCGTCCTTCTCCACTGGCATTGCCACCGCCGACTGGTTGGACAACTCAACCCGCGCCAACGCGCAAACAAAGCTGTCCAAGATGTTACACTTGTTGGGTGGCCCGGAAAAGCCGCAGCTGTACCCCACGCTCACGTTTGACTCGAAGTCGTATTTGAACAACCGGTGGAAGGTGTCTCAAGTGGACATCGACACCAACTTGAAGCTGAACGGCCAACCTGTGGACACACGCAATTTTAACGAACAGCCACATTTGTCGGCCGCGTTCTACTCGAAACACGACAACAAAATTTTGATCCCGGCCGGCATTTTGCAAAAACCATACTTTGACAGCCAATTTGACGCCGCCCAGAACTTTGGTGCCATCGGGATGGTCATCGGACATGAAATTACTCACGGGTTCGACAACGAAGGCCGCAATTACGATGGCGATGGCAACTTGAAACAGTGGTGGTCGAACGCCACCAACAATGCGTTCAAGACGAAAGCCCAGTGCATTAGCGACCAGTACGACAACTTAGTCGTCAATAGCGAAGTCACTGGCGCTGTGTTGGGCAACATCAGCGGCAAGATCACTTTGGGTGAAACCATTGCGGACAACGGGGGGCTCAAGACCAGTTTTCGCGCGTACCACGAGTACTTGAAGGAGTTCCCGTCCCAGTATACGGCAGAAGCAGGTGACAAATTGTTCTACTTGTCGTACGCCCAAGCCTGGTGCTCCAAGAACACGGATGCCCTCCTCCTCGGGTCTTTGTCGTGGAAGCACCCGCGCGGTCGGTACCGCGTGACAGGGGCGTTGCAAAACAACGCTGAGTTTGCCCGTGTGTTCCAGTGCCCCACCGACTCGTACTTGAACCCGTCCAAGAAGTGCTTGTTGTGGGAATAGGGTTCATGGATACAGAACATATATGTAGTGTTGTGCATTTGTAAGGGAAAACTAAGAAAACGATGTCTTGGTTGAAGTGTGTTGCTTTCATGTGAGACGCGCATAAAAACTAACAATGTATATGTGAGATCACCCTCGGAATTTGCGTAGTTAGTTGTTGGGACATGAACTTGAGATAAATTCAACTACCAGGTACTCGACGACATCGGGTTTGTTTGGTGGGATTGTCAAAACTGTAAATTGCCTGGATAGAACTGTAAAATAGCA